ATTCTATGCTTTCATGCTACGCAGACGATACTGCCTTGACAGTAAAGTCTGCAAATATCAATCATGCGATTCGGAAGCTACAAGATAATATTCCCTCCATGGAAGGCTGGTGCAAATGATGGAGAGTTTGTATAAATGCCCAGAAGTCTCAACTGCTACTCATTAGAAGGTAAAAATGTAATACTACTCTCAAGACCAATCTGATCCTGTTCAATGCCCCTGTTCCTCTGGTTAAAGAAGCCAGATATTTAGGAGTTATATAGAATCACAAATTTATTTGGTTTTCTCCTACTTTACATGTTCGAAGCAAAGCTGTTAAAATTATAAAGTGACTTTAATTCCATATTTGGAAAATTTTCAAATCTGGATTTAGCAAAAAAGAAACATCTATTTGGTTACCATCCGACCCATCATGACGTATGCTTCGCCAACATGGGCTACTGATTCTGACTTGAAAAAAACTACAAATGGTGCAAAATAGATGCCTACGAATTATCGCAAAGTCCCATTTCTATGTCCGAAATAATCTTCTACATGAAGACCTACAGATTGAACCTCTAAAGAAATTTCTTCACAAAGTCCACAAGCTCTTCTTCGTTAAAGCACAGGACTACGACCAACTGAATTACTTCAATACCTTCACTCATGACACTTTAAACGAATATCTACGCGGCTTATCTCCTAAGTGCTAATCAAGATTTTCCAACCTTATCAACCTAAATTGTTTTATTATCACTGCCTAATTTTAGAAATAAGATGGACTTAATTGGATTTGGATAAATTAAGCAGCAATTTACCCCACATGACTTTCCCCACATGACACGTGGTGTGTGCACTGTGCAGAATCTCTCTCCCTCTGACCAAGCCTGCTCGTCTTTTCATCGCACTGACCATTACCAGATGGCGACTCCTATGCCGCCCGTGTGTTTATACTGTTTTCTCAGATTTACTAGGTGCTAAGGCTGCCTCTTCTTGAATTCTACTGATGTTCTCCTGTTCTGGGATTCCTATCATGACTTTTCACCGTCAGACCCTTCGGGGATTTCGCTTAGGTTACTGGGATATACTGCTTTAATTCAGTAGAACCCCAGTATAATCATAGTAATATCCAAGTACCCAAGGAATCCTTCTTGCACTTCCTTTTGCAAATGAAAAAGGCTGCTGATCTAAGGGAATTTGATAAATGGCAGATCGTAAAGGCCCCAAGACTCTGAACGAGTATCTCCGAAACTGCAGGACTGGTAGATTGTTCACCACCTGCCGTTGTTAGTATTTATGCAAAGTGGATAAATAACAGCTGACAGGAGACGAAGGACGGGGACGTCTGGTGTTTAATAGAGGTAAACAGGCATATGTCCCGCGGCAAAGTCAGTAGTAGACGCCAAAGTGTTAGATATCCACGCATCATCAAAGAAAAAGGACGTCGGACACTGCTCCAGAAAAATCGGCGCCAGACAGTGTCTCAGCTAATAGCCCAATGCAATACAGGTCCAGTGCAAGTGTTTCGGATCACACAGTTACACAGGTTACACAGGCTGGTGATGGCAGTATGATGCTTTGAAGGACGTTCTCATGGGCGGCTCTGGGACCATTAGTTGTGGTAGAACAGACCATGAAAGCTGCGGACTATATGAACATAACTGCGGATCAGTTTTATCCTTACATGAGATCTGTCTTCCCAACTGGAAATGGAATCCTCCAGCAGGACAACACCCCATGTCACAAGTCTCAAATAGTGTTGGAGTGGTTCGAATAGTATAAGGATTAATTCCAATTAATATCCTGGCCACGTACTTGCGTGACCGCTGCTTGGATATTTGGTACAACCTGACTCCAGTCTTCTACCACGAACCTATGGCATACATGCCAAGGCAAGTTGCAGCTGTTTTGCAGACCAAAGGTCGCGCAATGCGTTATTCAGTAGGTGGTCATAATGTTTTGGCTCGTCAGTGTCTATTTACGATTCATACTCCCCGTGTTTTATACCTGTAATTTTACTGAACTTAATTAGCCTACAGTAAAGACGTAAAAGAAGCTAAGTATTGTAAATTAGTTAGAATAAATTCTATTAAGTAGAATTGAAGATATTCTTGAAATGGTCACAGTTCAGTATTTTCAATTTCATTTTTTAGCACTCTAATCTATAGTTTTATAGTTATTAATAACCCATCAACTATACTGGCATTCAATAATGTTTGAGAAGCTAAACTTTTATACTTCATTACATTATTTCAAAGGAAATTACAGTTGTTTTTTATCTTGTAATTGCGGAGTCCATTTTCAACAAATTTGAATTGTATTATATTTTTATGAAACTTTCGTAGCAAGGGTATAAATAAAAGTAAATTTCTTTTATTGAAAACTGGAATCAATATTAAATTTCCTGCGAAACGCATCAAGTTAATTCCTTGCTATTTTCTCTAACACAGAATTTATTTGGTAAGTAACTATAATTTGTTTGCAATTCTTCTTGGTAAACTGATTTTCAAATATTGTTAAAATTACCATTCCCATTTTCTCAGTAGTCAGAATAATGAAATTGTTTTAACAAATTTCATTTCGGCAAAGAATTCTTTAACCAGTATTATACATCTATTCAAATAAATAATATTAGGGTAGCCATATTATACCTCTAATTTTTGTAATACTATATATATATGTATATATTAAAAGTAATATTACTTACATAAAATATTTGATTACTGTTTTTGTTAGTCTCTGTTTTGTGATAGGTTTCGAAACATTCTGTAATTGTTTGTTATGCTATAATTCGTGAAATGTCTATATTATACGTTTGTTATTTTGATCCACAAACATTTTGCATTCCTGATTATTATTGAAATGCAGGCTAAATACAGGAAACCTAGCTTTTCGTGTGATAATGAAAATTTAGTATATTTGTGTCTGCCATTAATAAAAATGAGACGTATTACTATGAAAAAGATTATTCAAATTAATTTGGTCATATAGTAAACACAATACGTCAATGATCGAAGGAAGATTTGGTAACAGCATTTGCTAGTAATCTGTAATTCATATGATTTATTAATTTATATCTTTATATATTGTATTGGTAGGAGTATACGTATGAAGAAATTTATTGATATTTCAAGTGTTTGGAATGTAAGCGAAGAAAAGAGGTGTTTTTTTTTCCCATATTGTTTGGAAAATCAGTATAATTTGAGCATTTTGTAACTGAACTACTTTTCAATATCTCTTTTTGCCTCTTTTACCTTTATAATAAATGAAAGAGTTTCATATTTTAGGCTACACTACTATATTGATTCTTTTAAAAGCTAATCTTTTCAATATCAAGGACATGAATTTTTAGGTTTTCGAAGTTATTGAGAAAAAATGTCTTGTTCTGCAAGTTACTTTATTTATTATTTTAAGTTTGCAGCTATTTTAAATTTTTTGACACCTTATACTCGTTTTTTTTTTTTTTTTTTTTTTTTTTTTTCTTTTTCTTTAGAAAGTCTTAAAAATTAATTAATGAAATCTCCGTTAATTTCATGTTCCGTAGCTGTACATAAGTTTGTAAGTAAATATGCCTGCAATTACATTTTTTAAACTTTCATTTAAAATATTTCCATTCCTCTGAAAACCAGTATTTTATTTTCTGAAGTTAGATATTTAGTTAGATGTTTTTAGAGATTCATAATGTAATCTTCAACGGAAATTTTAAAAGCTGTTACCTGAACGATCTTTTTACTTTCTTCTCACATTAGCGTGAATTTAGGGAAGTGCTGTCAATCTTACAGTCATTTTACAGAAACGCAACTAGAATAGGATTCTTATCGCCCTGGTGGTAATTAATACTGTCTATTATACTGTCCATTACTAGACGCTTACTAACAAATTATACAAAGTGTTTGCAAACTGTTTCCGCAATGAAGTATAGTACACTATCTATCAAGATGACTAATATTTACATTGTAATCTAGGACCGTATTCTGCTCAAAGTGTCAGGAAAGCGTAAGTATCCAAGCTGAACTTTCAATTGTGAAACCAAAATGCTTAATGAGATCAAAAGCTTCACAATCTTATTTAGATCAGAGAAAAACTCACAGTAAGAACTCTGGAAGTTCTGGAACTAGCTGTAAAAATGGAATAAGCGTCATTAACTAAAGAAGGTAATATTTTTCTGAATGTCAAGGACTTTCAGGAATGATAGGACTTACTCGCTAATCCCAGATCTGTCGTAGAACTTAATATACACTGCTCACGCCTTGTTAAAATGTCTTTTTGTTTCCGTATTTAAATCAGCAGTCTGAAGGAATTCATTGTAAGGCATTATGTAGATTCAAGCAAAACAGTTTTAATTACAAAATTGTAAAACCTGCAACAAAATTATTTTGTATAATTTGGTATACAAATTTATGCTTGTTTCAGAAAAGATAATCATACTTCCTTATTGTTTCTTTTAGCACTTAAAAGTGGAAGCTGTGAACAAGTATTCTTTTCAAAATTACAGCTTAACAAAATGTAAATATTCCTAAAAAAAATTTTAGTTCATAATATTCTAAACTGTATGAAGCAAATTTAATTTTATATAAGAAACATCAGAAATAAAATTAGTTTAGATTGCCGCCTTCATTATTTATATCTTTATATCGTAATTTTACATCGCATTTTTAAAATAATTCCTTGCTCATGAGCAATACACTTAAATATATAATTTGAAGAAATTCATACTTCTTATCAACAAAACAAAAATAATCCAGTACATCACATATATACACAAATTTTTAAAGTACCTAAAAAAATTTGGTAATCGTATAGCCAATTAAAGGAATTAAATGCCAGTTTTAAAATTTCGCTAGTTCTTATTCCTTCTACAACATAAATAATAGTAAAACTTTCATTGTTTCCTCTGAACGATTAAATTAAAAGATGGCTATTAAAACTAATGTTGCTCTTTACAAGAAACCTTATCCTTAATAAATATTAGATCAGACGTAATAAAGAATAATCTGATACCCTTTTGTCTGATTTTACAGGCAGTGGCTTCTAAACTCCACAAGACTGAGGTTGAAGTAGAAGTTGTCCAGCGAAAAAGCAGCACGTGTGATCACGTACAATTTGCAATCAGGGATCGCAATGCTTCAAAAAATCAAACAGATCAAGAAACGGAGGAGTTCGAGACATTGTCCATGGAGAACAAAATTAGTCCAGCCACTTTCTGCAGAGCTTTCCCTTTTCACATCATGTTTGATCGCAACCATTTTGTTCGTCAAGCTGGGACTTCGGTTGCAAGAGTTTTACCATCTCTTACTCAACCAACCTGCCGAGTTACTGAATTGTTTACAATGGTTCGTCCACATGTAAATTTCACATTTAATAACATTTTGGCCCACATTAATACAGTTTTTGTCCTGAAAACACTGGATAAGGAAAATTCGGAAAAAAGGTAGGTTCTGTTACATTTCTAATTTACTGACAAAACTACATGTTTTAAATAAACTCGTATGTTATATTAATAAATCTTATTCATAAAGTTTGCAATAATATTGACTTTCTCTTATACGTTATATAAATAAACTAATAATTCAGTAGTTCATTACTCTAGGAATTATTAACTTCTTATTTAAAAATAACTTAAAATATTAAAAAATTGTTATTGCTTTGAACTAGACAGATATCCTCAGCATAGCAATAAATACATGCAAGTTTACTCCAAAACTTACTTTGCTTTGCCAATATATAGTTTAATTGAATAAGTTTGCTTTAATCTTTGTGCACTGCTCATTCTTCAAGAAGAGGTGACGCTCTATTGCTACACGAGCTGTGTAGTTTTTGTAACTGAAGAACTAATCAAAAGGTTAATTTTAAACCTTCTTCTGAAGTCGATTTTGTTTCACTGTAAGACGGGAAGATAAATCTCCTGACCGTCTACACGAAGTCCGAATTTAACACGGCAGTAATTAGGTTCCGTTCAGTTTTTGCTCTTAGATTTAAAAACCGTTTGTTTGGAGTAAGATGAAGATTTTTTCCCGAACAAACCAAATTTTTATGATTTACATTTAATGTATTTACATTGAAAAGAATTAAAATACGGAATTGAATAATATAAAGTTATATTTGCATACAAGTAGCACAGTTAAAACTACTTGAGGATTGCACAGGGGGGCGGAGCAGAAGGTCTACAGAGTATTGAACTGGATTAACGATTATTTACACATGCTTATTGAATTCTAGAGAGGTCTTGGCTCGCTAGATTTTGCCTGTTCACCTCTTCTAGGCTCTCATCACACAGTGAAACTCATTTCACTTTATTTAGCAATTTGCTCCACTCAAAGTAAAAGTCTCTGTCTTTTATTTACTAAACTTTTAACGTTCAGTCTATTTTGAAATTTGACTTATATCATATTCCACATTATGTAACCCTCCGTGTTAACTAACACCATTATAATTAAGACACAATAACACGCCGAACAAATACCAATTCAGAAGTCAAACAACAAAATCAGCGTTATACCTACAAAATTTTGTAGGTATAACGCTGATTTTTGTTGTTTGACTTCTGAATTGGTAACACCATTATATTAATATCACTTCAAAGTTATTATTTACGCAGTTGATTTCTTACCCCAGTTAATTCAATCAATACCAATGCAAATATTTCCGACTGAGCATTCCACTGGCAGAGCGAAACCACTTAGAAAACTGACAGCGAATATCAATCTCTAAGGCAACTATCTACAAAGCTTAGAATGTTTCTTCCACTTCCCATCCAAATCATTTTAACAAGCAATGTTTAGCGCGAAATCTTGTCAAACACTTTTTGTACTGGTGGTATAGGTGCAAGCAATATTATAATCACCTCATGATTTGTTTCAATAAATTAATCAAAATGCCTAAATTTCGATCCAAGGCTCTAAATAGTTTTCAAATCAATCAAAAACGCCTTAAAGGCTGGAGGTTTCTCCTGTATAGAAAAGCTTAAATCAATGACCTTCAGAACCTGAAAGACTAACAATCGAGTTGTCACTCTAATCTGAATTAAAATGATAAAATTTTACGAAGGCGACAATAATTTTTTATTGAATTCTTTAAATTATCAAAAGGCACATTTTGTGCTACAGTATATGACTTCGCGGGTATTTAAAATAACATAAGTTGAAGTTAAATTCAAGTAGCGTGATTTGAAACTACTCTCAAAACATTCTACTGAGACTACTCACAAAATAGTCCACTTAAGTTGGCTCAAGCAATTAGCTGCGAGCTTATAACATCGGCTAGCAAAATAGCTCAAGGCCGTAATAAATTTTGTCAGAGCTGGGGATAGTACGTAACTGTAAAACGAAGCTGCCAGAACATCTAATTCTAAAAGATTCAAAAATCCTTGGGTTAAATATTCTAAATCTAATTTGCATTCAAGTGATGATTGCTGAAAAAAGAAGTAAAGTAAAGTTTTAAATGATAATAACTGGTTACTTAACATAAAATTCTACAAGATAATTTAATCAACAAACAAACAACTGAACTAAGGATACAGTTTAAGTATTTGTCAATTAAAATAAACATTAAATAAAATTCTTATATCCTATTCAAAATTATAACCTTTAGAAATCAATGCAAAATTTCATGCACGCTATTTTCTAAATAAATAAATTTCTTTCGAAAATCATGTCCGTGTGAAACTTAGGTTTACAAGCAGCCTTAAATTGGCGTAGATTTTAAATAACTTTTCCAGTTTCGAGCGTGATTTAATTAACCCCTTCAGAAACAAAATATCTATTTTAAAATATTCTTATGACCGCATTGACCCTACAAGTGGCACTCGAACTAAAATGCGCAAGATAATTCGCCACCTCCTGGATTTGGCGACTGCCTCTCTTCCTTTCCAGTCCCTCTTTAAGTAGTGAAGAATGTAAGAAATTTTCTTCTTTTACAGCGTGCCTTCGTGGCATAACTGGAAAGCACGTTTTTGCCAGTATCGGAAGGTAAGGAGTTTGAGTCGTGGCAAGAATATCGCTGATATTTCAAATTTTCTGCTTCGAAATAAACCAAATGAGTTTGTAAATCTAAGGTAGCTTTTGGCATAATTTTAAATTAATTTTGTGCTTTAAAATATTTTCGAATATTTAACGCTTTTTTTTCCAAAAATGTATAAAAACTCTTGGTTTTTATAGTTTTGTGGAATATCACTAAACGTAAGGGCATTTCTGAAACCTTTATTCAGATCTGAAGCTTAGATAAAAAGAAGTTTGTTACAATAAGTGGGTGAGCGCTATCTACTTCAAAACTGAGGTCTTGAAATGCATGTTAAAAAGAAAAATTGACACCTATTCTAATAAAGAACAGTTTTCATTTCATTAGAAAGAAAGCAGCATAATCTGTTTATCTGAAATCGATGAGCGAACGGAATAACTAGTATTCAGTAACCTTAAATTCTTGATCACTGTTATGCTTTTCGGAATGTACTCTTGGATTTACGTTTCTTTTTGCAAATTTCTAACTATGTCTATTGCTTCTAAACCGGAACACTTATTTTGTATTAATATTAATATTTTAATGGGCATCAACATACTTAATCACATTTCTTTTCTTCAGCATGAGACTCAAGGGACAAATGTTATACGTTCCGGAAACCGATTTGATGTTATTCCTGTGTTCGCCAAGCGTCCTCAATTTGGATGACCTTAACAGGCGAGGCCTGTATTTGAGTGACATTCCCTTGCATGATGCTACAAGAGATCTTGTTTTGCTGTCGGAACAGTTTGAAGCGGAATACAAATTAACAAGAAATCTTGAGATACTTACAGATAAATTGCAGCAAACTTACCGTGAACTTGAGGATGAAAAAAAGAAAACTGACAAGTAAGGTTCTCGTTTACTGCTAGATTTTGTATAAACCCTTAATTTATCTTATATTACTGATAAGTATGCAAAACATACACTATATTCTATTTAAAATTAGTAATAAAAATATATAGCTCCTAATCTGATGCAATTAAACGTAAATTTAGAATGCTGTAATCAGTTCTACTGTATGTATATACACTGGTTATCATAAATTATGGACAAATCACAAAAATAGCGATAACCACTTCAAAAATAAGCCAAATCGTGTAAACTTTGAACATGTTGCCAAGTAATAAGTAAAACTGCGATATGCAAATTAGTGGCGCTGCTTTTGGAATACGTCATCTGCGAGGAGCATAAAAGTCCATGTTTGAGAGCAAGCCCACATATTTCACTGTGACAGTGACATAAGAAATCTGAGAAAACCAATTCGTAACAGTGACCTCCAGGCATCATTTGCCTGCAGAACTGCAATGGAGAGCCATTGGGAGACTAGAGGCAAGACAAAGTCAAACAGAAGTGGCCAGATGGCCAAATGTCTGTCCTTCTGTGGTTCATAGACTTTGGAGGCAATTTCAAACCACAGATTCGGCATCTAGGAGGTTCAGCCAAGGACGGCCAACTGCTACGACGAGTGCCGATGACCGATATTTGACATTATGTGCACGCAGAAACAGAACCGCTACTCCGACTCTTCTTAGATCCTCCCTTGCTGCAGCCACCGGAAGGTTCGTGTCAACGTCAACTGTGAGTAGAAGGCTTCACGAAGGCGGTCTGTATGCGAGGCGACCAGCCATTTGTGTGCCGCTCACGTCACGTCATAGGAGGGACCGTTTTCAGTGGGCACGACAATATGTCCACTGGACGCCTGATCAATGGAGGGCGGTTTTCTTTACCGCTGAGTCCAGGTTTAGTCTAGAAAGCGATAGTAGGCGTTATTTTATATGGAGAGAACCTAGAACTCGTTGTCATCCGTCAAACATCCGTGAAAGAGATGCATACGGAAGGGGCAGTGTCTGTGTTTGGCGTGACATCTCTTTGGGTGGACGCTCAGACCTCCATGTCTTTCCAAAGGGAAACCGTGAATGCTCCGATTTATAGAGATGACATCCTTGATCTTTATGTGCGCCCATATGCTGGGGCAATAGGTGATGCTCTCCTGTTACAGGACGGCAACGCAAGACCCCACACGGCTCGCATCGTAGATGATTACCTTCAACAGATCGTAGATGATTCAATTATGCGCATGGAGTGGCCAGCTCGATCCCTGGACTTGAATCCTATCGAGCACGTTTGAGATGCTTTAGGCAAACGTCTAGCTGCTTTTAATCCGCCCCCTCAGACCCTTGTCGGGCTTGCAACTGCTTTGCAAGAGCAATGGCTCTCGCTTCCTATGAAACTGATAGACCGCATAATTGAAAACATCACACATCGCTGTATGTGCTGTATTGCTTCTAGAGGCGATCATATTCCATATTGAAGGTACTTTTCCTGTAGCAAACTGACACCTTCGATTTGTTCATTTTATACATGTGCTAATTTCTATACTACCATATTTGTCTAATAATTTCTTTTTATGTTATTTGATACCATACTATGTGTTGTATATTGTGGGTAAGTTTCATTAAATTCCACATGTAACTTTTTCAGTAATCGTGATTTTTATGATTTTTCCTTAATTTATGATAACCAGTGTAATATCATCTTATTTTAATTGGAAACTTAAGGCAGAATGGAGTAATTTAGGAAAAATACGATCAGCTGTGAAATCATTAAAACCATAACTACGTAGTATACGGAACAGCAAAATAAGAGTTAATAGCGTTTTAAAGTACTAAACTTTCCCTTCAGTACAATTAATTAAAGGCAAGGGCAAAACAGTGAAATATTAGAAAATGAGAAATCAGTTGTACAATTATTAGAAATGAGAAATTAAGTAGCATCACACAGACCCATTCCAAGTGTTGCCAAGATGTCCAGCATTGCTTTATTTTTTGGGATTAGTGTCTTTTGTTTGATGATATAGCGCTGGTATAGAAGCAAGAAGACAGTAATACTTATTTGATCTACCAATTTTCCTAGCATTGGCAGATGGTTGTAGCTTCGAGTATTATGCGCAGAGTTTTGACACATGCCTTGAAATGTTATCCTTAAAACTCTACCCAGTCTCAAGAGTTATTATATTTGGGCCAGATTGCAAGAGAGGCTTTTGTGCTCTACTTTCTTGCTCAGATGAAGTCCACGGACCATAGTGTAAACCGGTGAAGCACACTTCTATATCCACGGTACTGTCAACATGCAAAATTGTGGAATATGAGAAACCCAAACTTTATCTCAGGGCATGTACTACGTCAGGGCCTCTTTATCCCCCAATAGTCATTTTTGGTGAGCATTTACAACAACATTCACCGCTGGTTCTTCCTTGTTTAGTCGTTCCGGAAGGCCTTCTTACCTGTTTTATTAATGTCTATTGATATGAATGCGTTTTGAAAAGCAAAATATTAAACCAAACCTGGGGCAGGTTAAGCTTCAGAATATTCGGAAGCATTTTCTAAAGTGTTTCTTTAAAAGTGTAATAACTTTCATGTAAAATAGGGCTCCATATCGCAACTTAAGGTAAGCGACTATTTAATAGTCATTACAGAAATGAAAGAACAGCCATTACTCTCCAGTAACATGGCCAGTACATTCCCCAGATCTGAGATCATGTGATTTTTTGGTTTGATGGACCTATGTATAAAGTTGTTTCTGAACACTTTGCAAATTAAACGGAAGGGGAAATCTTACAGTGTGCACAACTTTTCTTACCTCTAATTGAATGTATGAGAGCGAAATACTGCACTAACGTGGACCCTGAAAATTTAACGAGGAATATTATATGCGAAAGTTTTCAAACAAAAATTACTTCAAAGACGCTTAACGTCTTTTAGGAACAGAAAGTGGTGGTAATTCTGTTTTGATTAAAGAAAAACACATCATAAAAATTGTTGTACAGTACCAAATAATGTTCATACAAAGCGTTTCCCTCGAAATAAAATGAATTAAGTGGGTAAAATTTCGCTAAAACTGAAAATTTTATCTACTGGCAGTGTAACATATTTGAATCATTACTGCTTATTATTGTCAGTTGTTAAACTCTTATAACTAGTAATTCAGACATCTATGAAACATTCAATCTCCATTCACAAAAGAAATATTCTCACATACAAAACAAAAGAAAGTAAGAGGGGTAACTCATAGCTAATTCTGGAAATCAGTAATCGACGGTGAAAGAGTATTAAAAATATTTACCTCAAATATAATTAAGTATAAACTATTTTCAAAAACGAGGACCGTTATGGATTATGTTTTCGGTTCATAAATAGGTTAGGTTATTAGGTTATTTTTAATTACGGCAAAGCCTCGAGAAATCTGCCTACGGGGCGGGATGCCTTCGTGGAGGACTTTCTAAGGGAAACTGGCTCGTATACACGTTACACATGGGGAAAACCACGAAAACACCCATGCAGCCAGCCCGTTCGCGGGATTCAAACCTCGGACCGAACTACCAGTGTTTCAGCGACTTTACCGCTTGGCCGCTGGTGGGCCCGGTGCATAAATAGAAATTCACGATACATAGACACTTTTTATACTGCAAACAATGAAAATATTAAACGGATCTTTCTCTCACAGTCTACATTTTCTAACACACCTTTGCTACATTTTCTAAACTGTGTCTTAAAAGGTGTACTATAGTAAAAGCACTTTTAAGGGCAGACTATTAGTCTGGCAAATAATTCTACCTTTTGTTTAAAGACTCAAACGCATAAAGTATGATAAGCATAATTCAACACTTGCTTGCGTATAAAATTTATGGTTCCCTTTCAATAAATTAAATTTACTATTCTTTGAAATATGATTTCCTTAACATTAATATTTCTGTTCTATTTACAGACTGCTTTATTCAGTGTTGCCTCCGTCTGTGGCGAACGAATTACGCCACCAAAGGCCAGTACCAGCAAAAAAGTATGAATCTGTGACAATCCTTTTCAGCGGCATAGTTGGATTCAGCCAGTACTGCGCTAAGAATTCCGACTCTAAAGGAGCCAAAAAAATTGTGCAACTTCTTAATAATATTTATACAACTTTCGATGTCTTGACGGATCCAAAGAAAAACCCCAACATTTATAAGGTGAAGTTAAAAACGCTGAAGAGACTTTTGTAATGTATATTTATTAGTTATGTAAAACAATACCTAAATTCTTGCAACTTTCAACGTGTAATAAGTGATAAGTATAATAATGTCGAACCTTGAATAATATAATAATGTCGAAGGGAGGGAAAAAATATAAACCTTCTTTCTTTATCGGTGATCACCAAGGACAGCTGTCGTACTTTGATAAAAAAAACTGTTAATTATTTTTAGGTCTATACACTAAATTCTGATCCTGCCCTGAGTTACCACACTGTTACATTTTAGAGCATATTTTCTTCTTTCTCTGTGTGGACAAGAAACGTTTATATAAATCAGTCCAGTGTGGAAGGGGCAGCAATAATCTGAGGGAATTCTTATCCATTGCTGCAGTGATTAGATGGATGAGTTAAAATTCCATGTTGCGAAAATGGTTTCAAAACAATTAACATCTCCCAAACTGTTCCTTGAAATATAACTTAATGTTGTGTTGAAATAAGTTTTATATTATACAAATATACTTACGATAAAACTGTAATTTATTCTTATTGACCTTTCAGTCTTCTACACAAATTATTAATTTGGGAGATTATTGCGTGATATCGAGCAACCCAAAGATCATTAAGAATTATAAATTATTTTTTAAGACTAGCTGAAGCATTAGATCCTCATTTTTAAGGTTAAAACAAATCAACGGCAGGTTTACCCGTGATGTTTTTATAAATATCTTTAGCCTTCAGTGGGAGTTGCTATGCCCACCTATCAACAATAAAAAGACCCCATGGGGAAGATCAATCGTGAAAGAAAGTATTTAAGGTTTTCTTGTAGGAATTGACAGAATCAAGGAATTAACATGTTGAATGTGTCCTGTAACGTAACTTCACTGCTGGTTTAATACTGTAATGGGAAAACTACTTATACAGGTTGCAAAAAAGATGCAGCAGCAGGGTCCCGATACTAAAATGTAAGTGAACGTGCAGGAATTTTGAAGCTGTGAGGCTTTTAAATGATGAACATCATATGGAATGCCTTGGTTTGGTTTATTTAATTATGGCAAAGCACTCGAGGACTATATACCTGAGGGATGCCTTCGGAGGACTTTCTAAAGGAAACTGGCTCGTGTACATTTTACACATGGGGAAAATCACGAAAGCACCCATGCAGACAGCACGTTCGCCGGGATTTGAACCAGTGTTCAGCGACTTTACTGCTCAGTGATGGGCCTTCATATGAAATGGAATTTGGGTAATAATAGTCTTAAAACTTACCCAAAGGATCAATGAATCAATTAAATAAAAAATACAGAAAAATTAGAATAATTTTGATCTTGATTTTCAGAGGAATTAAATGAATTAAAGAGAAACAGCTAGCAAATGAGGAGCTTAAGATAAAAAATTAAGATGCCAAAACGTGATATCATAGTACTATAAAATAAGATGCTAAACGATGAAAAGGCTTACAGAAGAGCTTGTGAAGTGTTAAGAACTAAAATAGGATATTCTGTGAATGGGATATTGTGATATGTATGGTATATTATACAGAATATACAGAATGGTTACAGAAATATTGGTTTGATTTCATCCTGTGAAGCTGTAGGTCGCTTTTCAAAATTCGACACTTGAAAGAGAAACGCAAAGCCAGAAATAACACAATAGATTATAGTGCAAATTATTTCATAAAATTACCACTAATCTTATAAGAATTACCACTAAATAATGATAAAAAATCTTATAAGATTGGTACCGGATTAAAGCGAAACACTAAATCCACTAACGCCAGCAAATATGCTATTCGGATTAAAAATAACAGTAAAGAATGAGAATATGTGCTGCACATGGTATTTCGGAAGCTCAGAATGTGGGAACGTCTTTAAATAAACACTTATTAATTACTTCGAAGAATACAGCTGATATTACTATGTTGAACTCTATTAGAAAAGAATAATTTATATTAAATAATTATCATTTAATGTAAAATTCAAACAATCCTTGTATTGTATATGTGTTTTAAAGTGAATGTGTGTAGCATATAGGCCTTTAGAATCTGTAATCTGTACACAAACTCCAACAAAACGTAATTAGACACATAAAATGTTCAAAGGAAATACATGATTTATGTTTAAATAAAAACCTTATTGCTGAATATGATTAACACAAATTCAAACAAATCCAGGGCTTTATTTGCAGTTAGCAGGAAATAGGTATTACAAAACTGGGAGTCTGTACCCTCATCACAACTTGTTACGAAGGTCTTACCTTAACTAAAATAAATATATAATTTATATATTGATAAGTTTCTGCATTTGATATGCGTGTATAAATATGTCACTGGCAGCAGAAACAAGTTTTTAGATCATATTACCAAGAAATAAGGAAATCAAAAGACGGAAGCAAAGTTTTACATCTAAACATAGCTGAAAACACTGATACCTTATTTTAACTTTAAAATAAGGTAATTTTGGAATAACTCTCAGAAATTTCAAATTTATTCATGTTGTTTTATGTATAAACAGAAGTTGGTGCTTTCACGTATATATTGACACATTGTAGAGACATTACGTAATTTTTGGAAGTAGGCAAGATGCAAAATTAGCAACGCCTTCGCCGGGAAGCGAACCACGGACCTCTGGAATACCGCCCCAGCGTGCAGAACCACTACACCACGAAGGCACGCTAATAAGGCTGTATAAATACCTTACATAGTTCCCCTTTTAAAGGGCGACTGGGGATTTTAGGGGACCCAATTGCTAAATCCTGGGCGTGGAGAATCATCATCCACAACACCATTTTAGTTTGGTCACCACTGTAGAGACATTAGGTATTTTTTGGAAGCAGTCAAGATGAAAATTTAACAACGCCTGCGCCGGGAATCGTAACCACGGACCTCTGGAATACCACTACACCGCGAAGGTACGCTAGAAAGGCGGGAGAAATACCTTACAACATAATTTCCTGAAACAAAAGAGTGTTTCCTAAAACTTTAAAATCAGCTTTCAATTGTTTTCTTGTGTAGCTACAATTTAAATTTATGCCACTGCGTTAATTATAATATGTTATCTTTCCATCAGCCAGAGTTAAAAATAGTGAGCAGTAAGACGAAACAATCATGATAAGCATCTTCAGAAAATAAATGCTCTTAATTATATTTCAGAGTCACTATTTATTGTTATATTTTTCCTTTTTGTTATTATTATAACTGATGGATCAACTGTAATTACTTTTACCTACTTATGCAATATAACACAAAACTATGTTTTGGGACTCTTCATTGTTGTTTGTCCATTCTTTTTTCATAAGACTACTCGGCTCCTTTAGAATGTAAAGGTATCGAGGAGAAATGTGAAGCATATCTCTCGCTTCGTATGAGGCACCTCGCCTATGCTTCTATGTACGATTTCCAACTGACGGTAACTATTTACAAATTTCTGTTATGAAGATTTCTTTATATACATAAGTATTAGAACAATTTGCATGTTACTATTACTAACGAAAAACTTAGATCTACAATCTTTTATTTCATCCAGGGCTTAATTTCTAAAAGTAGAAGTTTCGGTGCCCTATGTAAGACTGTCAGGAAAGAGTAACAAGAGTAAATAAATGAACAAAATGACTATTAAAATTATTAATAATTAAAAAATTAAATAGTTAATGAGTATTAAATTAATTAATAATTATTTAATTGATATTAAAAATCAATATTTATTAATTGTTATTTAGTTTATAATTATTATTTAATTAATGCATACTTAATTTATTAAAATATTTAAATATTAAAATAGTTAAACTATTAAAATTAAATAAAATGTAAAGAGATAAATAAAAATTTAATAAGCGATTTTTTATATAATTTTATTACTAAAAGTAAAATTTTCTAGATCCAAGTTCTACTGAAATAATTGTTCAGTTACAAAAAAAAAAGTTCCTTTTGATTTAGGGCTCCGGTGTGCTAAGGCTATAATTGGAATATGTCCCAAAAACTAAGGAGTACCGAAGCCGCGCTCCGGTAGGCTCCTGCGTAATTTAAGCTCTGATTTCATCTATATCAGGGTTGTCAAACTCATAGGTACACTTGGGCCAAACAAACAAGGTTCAACTTTAGGCGGGCCGCAAAAAAAAAATCAATATTCATAGAAACGTAGATTTATTTCGAATAATACAATAATAAACATATATATATATTTATATAGAAAAGAACAAGAAAAATTTTAATATTTACGTCCTGATACTTGACATCTCTTCTCTGCTATTATCTTTCCTATTTCGGGAGAAATTTTGTTTGCAGTGATAACTTTCAACGCAGACCCAAGGTGAGCATCATTAATACGGTTTCTAATAGGAGACTTATTACCTTTCATGACTGAAAATAACTGCTCGCACCGATAAGTGCTACCAAACATGGAAATAATTTCATATGCGAATTTTCGAGTATTTTCAAACCTGGCTGGTAAATATTTGTAAAATTCAGGCACGCTCACTTCAATGAATTTTGGAAAACTGAGACCATGAGTTCGGCCACATTCGGCTATCGGGGGATGCGTACAAGTTCTGAGTGCACGTGTCCCCCAAAAGCCGAAGGTAGCTGAACGCAAGCTACTCACACGCATTTGTAATTAATTAATAGTGTGTGTGTCAGCTCGCTGTGAGTAATCTAACAACACTGAATAAATTATCGTTAATTACTTAGCAGTAAACATTTCATTTTTTTTCTTCTTCGTCGATATGTTATTTTATTATTATATATTATTATTTGCCGATATATTGGCCGGGCCGCAAAAATATTTGTTGTGGGCCGCGAGTTTGACATCCTTGATCTATATAATTCTACTGTCTCTTAAAACCGATCTGCTTACAGCTAATATCTCTGAAAGTTACGCTTTCGTATTGTGTTGAATTTACCTGTAGCATATATCAAATCCAAAACCATTTGTGAATGTAATATGATCTAGATTGACTTGCCGCGTCCTTTGGCTAATGAATTGCAAACGTTTCGATATGATTCCAGATGGGATTTTCAGGCGATTTCTGTGCGCTTGTGGCAAGTAAATATCCGAGACAATATAAATATATCCTTTGGTATAGTTCAAGCTACATTAAAGTTTAACAGGTCACAGGTGCTGAGATTTCCGTTCGGTAACTGGAATGCTTCGATCTCGAAGACTTTCCCCAGATTCAGAAAAAATCTGCTAAAGAATTACGGACTTCCATATTTTTAGCGTCAAAGCGTCTTCTTTTAGTAATTTTCTTGAATGTTTTTAATATGGCTTATGTTTAAAATAATTCAGCAAATAATTCAATTGTTCTTTTCAAGATCTTATTTTCATTAAATTTAACATGACCATTTAATTATAATGAATATTTTACAGTACCTTAATTCTCTAGGTGAAATACAGTCACGGGTTCTCTAATGTTCTTTCGTTTTCTCTCATGCATTTCTTCACGTCTGTTCAGGAACAACATTACGTAAACAAATGTATTTAATCTTTTCCTCTCATTTGTGTAGCGTTCCTAACATCCAGTTTATTCTGTTTCCAGAATCAATCTAATTCCCAGAAATCAATCCAAATTTACTACGTTTACCGCAAAAGAATTTCAGTCATGGACCAAATGTTCTTCAGTCTTCCGGAAACCGTACTCAGTTTACTTCAATTATGATTATCACAGGGGTTCTGTGATAACCTGGCTTACGAACTCATCCTCTTTCGAGTCGTATATATTACTAATAGGGCATAATTTTACTCTTATGTACTCGGATAACCAGGTCAGAATTTCTAGATTAAAACCTCGAAGCTAAACTATAACTACAGAGAGTCACGATAGCCAAATGATCTTAAATATATTTTTAAACTTACAACACATGGAACTTTTCAGATATAGGTCATTGCTAGCATCCCAGTTAAACCCAATGGAGTCTGCTTCATGTACTTTCGTTCATATAAAGATGTTTTCGTCTCCGAAGATATATGAATTATTCAAATCCTTTCCTTGACATCAACAGCTCTGAAAAGATTCTTATGACAACATCAAGAAAATTCGAGCACATTTCGTTTCTTGTTTCTCCTTTTAACTAAGCACCCAAGTCAGAATATCCTCTCCAACTGCGACCTTGTAGAATCCCTTTTTAGACTTTTTGGTGCAGGAAACGTGATAAAATCAGCTGTGCCCTTGCTGGAAATCGAACTCTAGGTTTTCCGACTGCTGGATATGATTTCTAATGACATCACGGAAGCACGCGGAAAGGAAAGAGAAAAACCTTACAACCTTACTTAATTTGAGATATTCAACAAATAAATCGAAAGGAACAAAGATTAAGAGTTATAAAGTTACAAGTGCTACATTTTGGACGTAAAAATATTTCAGTATACGGATGAATGAAAAGTAATGTTTTGAGGTATCATTACGGAAAGCCTAGGAAATAATTTTTATGTAAATGAATTATGTGTGCTACCGCTACATCACGAAGGCATGCAGAAAGGAAGAAGAAAATTCCTTATTTACTCCCCCTTTTAAAGAGCGACTGGGATTAAGTTACCCAGTCACCAAATCCGGGTGGTGAAGAACCATCCTCCACCTCCTTTTAGTTCAGGCGCCACTGTAGAATCATTCGGATTTTTAGGTAGGAAACGTGAATTATGTGCAATGCCCTCGCCGGGACTCTAACTTGGACCTCTCGAATACGCACCGAGTGTTCTAACCGTTATACCACGAAGGCATGATGGAAAGAGGGAGAAAATACCTTATAATATGAGGGTCCTTAGATGTCCTGAAATCAACCGGGCCAGAACTGTTTGATCCTTCCTGACATCCTTGAAACCAGTCGCAGCACCAGGACCTATTCTACGATACCATGAGAGTGTCGGTAGCTGTCTCCAAGAGCTGTTAATCAAAGCCTTTCTTCTCGAGTATATTTCGAGGTAAGTCAAAGCTTCAGCATAAACGTGAGGCATGGAAGTACCTTCCTTTGCTAGGCTATTAGCTATATTATTATATTTGGAGATTTACATGATATGGTATCCATTGTAGGTGGAAGACAGAAGAATGGGATTAAGTCTTGAGTTTTTCAATATTTTTAATTCGTCTCTGTATCTGAAGTAACATGATAGATTTGAAAAGCATATTCAAGAATCGCTGATATAAAGCAGGTATAAGTTGTCCTTAGGGTCTTGGCATCAGCGCCCCAGTCGCAGGCAGATATAAATTTCAAAATATTTAGTCACTTTCTAGCCCTAGATACCAGTAGATCGATGTACTTATTACACATGATTTCAGAGTCAAGAACAAAGTTACTAATCCGTTCCATGATTAGTTAAGCATTTGTAAGATCTAAAATATGCTCATACGACTAACACATCGCAGCAGCAGGTACAGGAAGCAACTAAACTGTTTTCTGACTTTAGGCTAGCTGCTTTTCAATGGAAATATAGGAAACAGTTTCTATATTCTCCAATGTCTGTGACGAAAAGATGAATTAAAGAATGGTTATATTATAAAAGACTACGCCTTTAATTATTTTCACAGGTCTTCTGTTCCAAAGTTGTATATTCTGCGAATAGGCTGATTACATCAGATTTTTCACAGTTTTCCCTGTATGAAACGAGAAGTTTTCATAGTTTCTTATAAATTGTTTTATAGCGATATCCTTCCTCTTATGCAAAGAGCCCTTGTACATTGTTTCATATCCAATCAACCAATCAATTCAAAATGTACCGCCATATTTAAGTAGTCGAGATACGATAAGTAAATCAGTCTAGAGAGACTAGATAGATAATTTGTTATGGAAAAGTACTCGATGGTTGGTATATGGCTATGCTAGGTTTATAGAGAATGTTTGTAATGAAAGGCAAACTACTTAATTTTCTATGTCTTAACGAAGTGATTACATAGAAAAATATACATAGAAAAATAATTTGATATTAATACTAAACGTTGAGGGGTAAATATTGGAAAGGAATATATTTTCACCTAGTTTTGAGATGAAGAATTATGAACCTTATTTATCTTATTTTACATCAAGAGTTCTGCCTGGAGTTAACCTCTTAGGATGGAAAATTATCTTCTGGTTCTTCGGAGCTTTGCGTTTTTATGATTTTATAATTTATGTTTTTTCTCCTAATTAAAATTCTATAATGAGAAGAAAATGAAGTAAGCATTGAAATATTGCACGCCTCAGATCCATCAGACCAATAATATTTATACGGAAGTGTTCCATTCACACAAGTATATAGAAATTCATTTAGTTATGAAAATTCAATCCAGAAAAACCAAGAATTTTCTTGATTTCTGGAACGTACCCAGAATTACAAAAAAATTTAAATTACACACATACACATGCGACTTACAAAATTCAAATTCAGTATGCCTTTGATGGAAAATAAATTATGAATATTTTATCTTTGTTTAATATACAAAATCTTCGCTTAAACTTCTCCATTGTCGGAGCTGGTAAAACATATTTGCAGAAAGGAAAACATGTTTTGCCTTAAATCATTAAGAATGAATATTTACAATTCTTCTATGTTATGCTAACATTTTGCGTAATATATTAAAATGATAATTGCTTTTTACAAGACATAATACTGTAATAATGTAATTTACTATGTTTAAAGTAAAATTCAGAATTGCAGTGTGTTATGTTTTCAGCAAAACTTAAACATTTGGATTTATGTTCAACTACGGAATTAAGCATGCAAATGATTAAACTACTTTTTTAAGTTAAGATGCTCTGAAAACGTTTCAACTTTAATTTATAACTAACAACTATACCTGCGAAATTTTTATTTCGTCTACCTTCAACTGCAAAAATGCATCTAAAATTATAACTTTCGTAATCCATTTGCTGTTTTAGGTTACTGTTCAGCATGTATTATGCTTACAAAAGCATGAAATATATAGAATATATTTGATCCTACTTAAGTATTAATCTGAGAGCGTGTGGTTACTTATTTCTAATTTTTGAACTTCGAAATTTAAATTTTCGTTTTGCTTTATTTTAAATATTTAATTTTTACTTCGCTTATTAAATTCTTACTTTTTATTTATTTATTTCCTTATGTATTTAACTTTAAATTAATGCAAATCCAAGCAATGATACTTTAGAATATCTATAACTTTAGAAAGATGTCGCTATAGAGCGTTTAGTCGAAGTTACTAAACGCTCTATATTTTATAACTAACAAACCTATTTTATGAAAACAGAGGTTTGTTCTTTACGTAAATTAAATATTTCTCTTCATTCATGCTTGTAATTAAGCGGTACACATTTGAAATACCAACTTCTTTTTTTTTTTCATTTTATAGCTATAAATCAAACTATTTTTTTTTTTTTTTTTTTTTTTTTTTTTTGTTTGTTTGTTTGTTTTTCATAATCTCTGATTTTTTTTTATTTGTAAATATCAGAAGAATCTTACTCTAAATATTCAGTTTTTTCGTTCAGCAAGTGATAAAATGATTAAATTTTTTCCATTACATACATTGTAAACTTTTCATTTTCTCCAATCTGCGTATAGGTGGAAACCGTTGGAGATAAGTATATGGCAGTTAGCGGTTTACCAGAGCCTTGCGAAAGCCACGCAAAATGCATCGCTCGTCTAGCATTAGATATAATGGATTTGTCGAAGGAAGTCTTAACAGAAGACGGAGAGCATGTGGTAACTTATTTTTAATCTCTAAATTTCAAAGTTTTAATTTTTATTTTACTTTATTTTAAATATTTATTTCGCTTAGTAAATTCTTTATTTATTTCCTAAATTATATACTTAGCTTACCTTAAATTAACGCACTAAATTGTTTGTTGACCCTGTAAACTTTCATAGTGATGCATACCGCTATCATTCGCAAAGCATCTAACACTCGCCGAACATCTTTGTAACAGCTAAACGCTCGTCAAAATGCCAACGGCTGGTTGGTTAACTGTAAGATCCCTTGTGCGCTTTTGTGACAAGCCACATTACGGAAATAACGATGTTACGGTTGTGTGCTTAATCTCTCTTTTCGAAATGGTATATTCTAGTGATGGAACATTCGAATCTCAAATCCCACGAATCTTGAAAAAGACTCGAGATTAAAAAAAATATCGAATCTTAGGAACCCTAGCATAAATAACCATTAAATGCTTTAATTCAAAATTTTGGAAAGATTTGTATTATTATATCCAGTAAAAGCTTTCATTTAAAATAAGGACTCAGAATGGGCCTGCTCAGATGTTCTTCGTGGCGACCTTGAGTTCTACACCCTTAATTTTCTAGAGAAAATTGAACGTTACTTGTTAAGTGTTTAAACTGTCTTAATATTCGAAATACTCTTCTTCAAGCTTGGTTTGATTCAAAAATATTTCGGAAAATTGTTAAAATGTGAGCTGTTACTCAGATATATTTCATCAAATTATACTGAGAAAATGAGCCTCAAGATACAAGTTTTTAAGTGAAATAGGTGTATGTTAAAGAGGAACTACAGTATTAAATTTCCCTTTCAGTAACCACAGATTTCAAATTCTACTTTAATTAAGCCCTAACATTAAATTAAAGTTTTTTTCTCTTTTTATTAGTATTATTGTTGTTGTTTCTGTTGTTTATTAGTATTATTGTTGTTGCTGCTTTTATTATAAGAAATATTTGAGAGATTCAAGAAACTTTTAGGATTCAGACTAAAGAAAATTTAGAATTCTTCGCGTAAATTGGAAGCCTTACTCAGTGCCTAAAGATTAGTTTCAGAACATCTATTTATTAAATTTACTTTAATAACTTTTTATTATCTTATTATGCATAAAATCTCATAAAAAAGTCATTCCTTCCGTTGATTCTCTAAGCTTTCCGTTTCTGCAGTTTTCAAGATTAAGTTTCTTTTTTTTTTATTAAATATTTCATTATCTATTAAACGTTTAATGTATTTTAATTGCATCAGTTAAAACTTGCGAATTCAAAACAAACAAAAAAGTAACAAAAACTCGAATTTAAAATATAAGGGGCAAATATTCCTAAACATTATTTTAAGGACGATAAGTATATTTCTAGATTTTCTACTGTTTTCTCAAATTCATAAGCTGAGTTATACAGAATTAAATTAAGAATTAAAACCAAACACGTTCACTAAAACGACGTTCTTAAATTAGTTTTAGATACGAGAGAGCCATCATTTCTATACATACTCTGAAAAACGCATCAATAACCAACCAAGATAACGAAAACTGCTAAAGCGAAAGGGGATACGTCTGATTACCAACGCCATCTATCGACGAAAAGGGCAAATAAAACTTAAAAATACTTTAACTGCTTAAAAACAAATAAATATTCCTCGAATCGGAATGTTCCATTTGTTTGGCAGAAGAAAAGAGAATAAAGAACTTACTAGGAAGTTTCAGAATAAATAATCAGCGGTTATTATTCAAGTTTTCCGAAATTTCTCCGAATATAAGTATAGTTTCTCTAATGAAAAACTTTACATTTCTTTTAGTTTGATCAACATATACAATAGAAAAGCAAAATATATCTCTTGATGAGCTGTTATTAAATGAATATTTGAAATATATCGGAATAGCATGAAATTTAACGAAAGATCTCTCAAAACTTGACTGCTTGATTCATAATCTCTTTCATCGGCAATAAAAGTATCTTTTCATGCATAGTTAATTACCATAATTAAAAGAACTCATACGTGGGCACACCATCTTGATGGCGCATTTCAATCCCTCCGAGTAAAATATTTGCAGAAAGCGCAATTAACCACCTCATTCGCGCTTTAGTTTTTTAATCTCAACTCAGAAGATTTAGAAGAAAGGACTACCCAAATTAAGCAAAAGTTCAAATTAGAAATTTGGGTTTTAAGACAGAAGTTTTTCTTAATTAACCTGAAATTTAAGTTATGGAGATCTGAAAGGAAAGGTGTGACAAATTCTCTTTTTTAAGCTAAATTTCTCTGAGTTTTAAAAATGTGATCTCAGCACTGTTAATTCTTTATATTATTTCTCGTCGCGCTACACAAATACATGTTTACGTAATTTTTTTCTTACGGTGCTAGAATTAAGAAATTTTATTTAAGATAGCAGTATGCAATAGTTAATAATATAAATGCAAACAAAATCGAAAAGAAACGGCATGATTTTTCCTAAAATGTGTTAGTAGCATCAAATATCTGGCCTTCCATGCATGGATTCCTGTTCATATATCTTTATTCTCCTGCAGTTACTTTTCTTGTCATATTAGAGAGGTACTGGTATAAGGTCATTGGAATGAGTATATTTAAAGCAGAGGAACTAATGCCAATTAATATTTCAATAATTAATTGACTAATTAGTAAAACATTTAAATGCTGAATACTATCTAACATTTCTACTCTTTATCTGCTTCTACAAGTTTACTTATAAACGTTTAACTACTTATAAAGTTAAAAAATATCATCCATTTTTTCCTAAAATAGATGAAAATGGCTAATGTGCAGAAAAACTTATATAGTAATGAAGTAAATATTACAACAATATTTTACAACAAATTTGGTTTTAAAAGCATATTATAAAGGAAGGAAATTCAGTCATTATAGCGCGTAAAAGTTTTATCATGTTGTTATAATTTATCTAAATACTATACATTTTGCAAGTATTGCGTATTCACTTTTATTTATTCATTCATTTCTTTTTTAACACTTTTTTACTGTACACTAAGCAGAAAAGAAGTACAATTCATCTTCTTTTCTAGTTGTCTGATCTATAAAATTCAGTAAGCGTTTTTTTAATGCCGTGGAAGTGTTCTTATGATTTATTTTATGTTTGTTATATATAGGAGATTTATATATAGCTTTGTTCTACCGTACTTACTTTTTATTTAAATCAATGAGTAAGTTTTAATTTTTTTTTTAATTTTAAATGGTAAATTCTTTTTCGATGTCTTAGACTAATCTGAAATTTTCGAATTACAGTTCCATTTATTTATAGTAATTCTCTCAGGAAAAAAGACACTGCCAGAGATGCTCATCTAATCGAGATGATAGCTATATGATATGCATATTTTCCCTCTCAGCTTTCGATACATATGACCTTGTTTTATCTTAAATAATACATTAAAAATACCCTATATTGAACTAGCAAAATTTCAAACATATTTAAAGAAAATGATCAATGAATTGTTATACTCGTTTTCAAATAAAGATGTTAAAAAAAATAATTGATAAACTGACACTGCTGTTTTCACTTTTTTAAAAGTTAATTTACCTAATATATTTTCACAGTTACCTTCCGGTGACACACATTCATGAAATACTGAATTCTAATTCTTCATCTTTGACTGGAAAGATTATACTAAATATTAAACTGTATTATAAATGTAGTGCAAAGATTCTGAATCGAAAATAGGTTTGTGTAATTTAAAACCTATTTGTAAATTTAAGCCTGTTTGATTTTATGTAATGACATTGTGTTCATTTTCGTAGTCATTTTTATAGTGAACACTCGCTGTGTTATATAGAAGTAGTTTAATATTAGAGAAACACGATAAAATTCAATGCAAGCCTGCATTTATTACACTAGCTCAGAGTTTCTTAAACTGTGGGTCGCGAACCCCCATGCGGTACCTGCAGCAGGGAGTAGCCAAAAATTTTAGCAGTTTTGATATTTCTTTAACTAATTATAATAATTTTACAGTTACAAAATATAATCACGCAATGTATCTGAAAATAGATGAAGATAAGACACTACAGATAAAGAAAATACGAAAACGCTTCGACGAATTCTTTTTATAATATAAACGTTCATTTTACTTGCTTTGCACGTGACGCTGTCATTTCGTCTGTTACTTAGTTAAAATTTTCCCATTGTTCTATGTCTTAAAATTAGAAATTAAAGTTAATGTCCTGAAACTGTAATAACATATTGTGCAAGTGAAAAAATTGACAGTTTCACTCACGTATGTGTCAGATTTGCGCAATACTTATGGGGTCCCACAAAATTTTCGTAAATATAATGGGGTTCTGCTATCGAGAAAAAAAGGATCGCGACTGAAAAACATTTAAGGAGCTCTGCACTAGCTCATTAAACAAAAAGCATTTTATTTGATCGATAGTTTCTCCTCTCGATCAAATAAAACGTTTTTTGTTTATTTAAATATGCCTTTTCAAAGCAAACGTTTACTTCCTGTTTGCTTTATTTAGTGAGGATTTCTTAGGCATTTTGTTAAATTTTTTATTACCTGATACAAAGCATTAAGTTAAATTAGGATGCTAGGATTAAATGATAACATAGAACAAAACATGAAATTAATAATGCTTTCGTAAGCTTTAAAGCTTACATTTGTTACTTTAAGTATAATGCACGCAAGCATTTTTTTTTTTTTTTTTTTTTTTTTTTTGAATGAATGATAATATAACACAAATATATCTTTCAAAATATAGCTAAAACAATGTACCCTTTAAATTTCCCATAACCATGGAAATTTCTTTATGTCTAGTTCGAAAAACTTGCAAAATGTGTCTGAATTTGTGCATTACTTTTTAGATTCATACTACAAACATATTATTCGTTGCTCTGTAACTCAACGAAGAAAATACTCTTCTTGATTTTTTGTTATTCAGTGTGAGAAAAATTTGCACATTCCTCGATCTCTGATGAATGATTTTGCATGAGTCTGAAGACCTGCTTCTTATCATTTGTTCGCAAGACCAGGTGTCTTGATAACATTATTTTGTTGCACTAAAAGCATTACTTAGTACACGCTAAATTAGATAAACTTTAAATTAATTTCTGCTTTGGAATACAAAATAAACTTCCCATATTTCTTGGAAACGTACTTATGCCGATTGGCTAAGAAAATGTTCTTTCTTTTAACGTTTATCTAGTCATTTCTAAACTGTGGAAATTTGAAAGTTCTTTAGGAGGGGAAATCTGATGATTGATTTGCACTGAATCTAAAGAACAGCTGTTTTCTAATTGCTTACAAGCCCGACTGCTTTGTTCTAAACATTAAATACGCGCAACTAGATTATTTGGTGTGGCAAAGTACACTAGGGTTAACTGCCTAAAGTAAAAAAAAAATGTCTCAATTACATTATTTGGTTTAGGGCAAAGCATAATAGGGCTATCTACCTAAGGGAAAGAATGTCTTCGTCAAGAATTTTCTAAGAAAAACTAGCCGTATTTACGTTACACAACGGTTCGTATTCACAAGCATAAAATAAGCACAAACATGACTTGTATTCACATTATTCATGAGGGAAACCACGAAAACTCCCATATGGCCAGCTTGTTTAAGGGGGTTTGGACCCGGGTCGAACAACCAGTGTTCAGTAGTCTTACTACTTCGACTCAGGTGGACACTTGAAATACCCACAAAAACAGTTCACTATTTTCACGATGCGTTATTTCCTTTGATAAAGCAGTTATTATTTTATAAAAGTTAAAGCAACAGAAACCTTAATTTCTGCTTGGAAATGCATCATAATTCTCTATATGTTTATTTCAAACACGAATTCAAAAACTACAAAATTTAAATCTTACTCTAATATGGCTTATTAATTCTAACTGGGTATTCAAAGAAATTTGTCGGTACTGAATAAAGCAAAGCCTAAAATCACAACTATCAATTTTGGCAAGAACTTAAATGTAGCGTGCACCCGTAGGCCAGAAACACGCTCTGTCTTAAAATCCAAAACGCTCGGTTTACATAATAGCTTAACTCATTTGCATTCTAGTGAGGAAACGGAAAGTTAAAATGCAAATCCAAATCACAATAATTAGTTAGTTTCAAATACAAACAAAATAATAAATAAATACTTACAAAATAATCACAGATATAAGATGTTTTCTATCCTTTCGTTACCATTATTTAAAAATCAATCAGTGCTTATTTGAAAAGAAAAAAAAAGAGAAATTTCAACAAAAATATTAATCTACTTATCTGCATTCTATTAATCTAGTAATTGCTTTAATCTAGTGACGGCCATGTATCTCTAGAGTTTCCTTTCAGAAAGTTAATTTCTTAGAATTCTTGACTAGAAATTAAGGCTTGTCAATATAATAAGAACATTTATGCAACTGAATTTAATTCTAAATAGTTTTGAAAGTCTTCTCAAAAATTAACATTTGTAAAATTTACAGGCATTAAATTAATTTTACAAATATTTCAAATTATTTTTTATGTTGTTTAGCAAATAACTATTGGAATCCATAGCGGAGAAGTTGTAACTGGTGTCATTGGGAAACGTATGCCTCGTTATTGTCTTTTTGGCAATACCGTGAACCTTACAAGCCGCACTGAGACTACAGGTGAACCTGGAAGAATCAATGTGTCTGAAGATGCCCACAGGTAATTTCCTTGAAACGTACTTCACATTCTACTTTATTAGTATAAATCGTATTTTTTATACTATACCATTATCCCAAAAATATTGATAGAGACTAAAGGCTTGTATTTAAAACACTATTTTAACGAACTATCAGACTGATATTACAAAAATTACTAAACAGATAACCCAAGTTTTCCGTGGTTAACAATATTACTTGGATCGTACAGAAATGATTGACACAACGCTTCTCACATCGAAACTATTACACTATGCGAAAGGAAAACAAGTGGAATAGACATAAGGGGGGCGTGAGCTACTCAAAATGCATAGATGGAGCTGGCCGCAAGCCCAAATGGGCTTGTCCCTTTCGCCCCCGTCCCTTTCGCCGTCGTCATTGAGAGCGTGGACAGCAATGATGGAAGGTTATTATCATGGTCAGCGCTGGACAGTGGTTACTATGGAAGGAAGGGATACAGGTAGTGAGATCCATCGTCGCATGATGTCGGTGTGCGGGAACAAAGCACTCTCAAGGCGTACCGTATCCCAGTGGTTGGCCAAGTTCAGCAGTGGAGGAGACCACAGCCAAAGGTGTCAGCGCAGGACGGCCAGCAACATCGCATACAGCATCAAATGTTGCAGCCGTGTCATATTTGTAAAATTTACAGGCATTAAATTAATTTTACAAATATTTCAAATTATTTTTTATGTTGTTTAGCAAATAACTATTGGAATCCATAGCGGAGAAGTTGTAACTGGTGTCATTGGGAAACGTATGCCTCGTTATTGTCTTTTTGGCAATACCGTGAACCTTACAAGCCGCACTGAGACTACAGGTGAACCTGGAAGAATCAATGTGTCTGAAGATGCCCACAGGTAATTTCCTTGAAACGTACTTCACATTCTACTTTATTAGTATAAATCGTATTTTTTATACGATTTATACTAATAACGTTCAACAAGATGCAGGAAGAGACAGGGCTTGCGCCAGGAATATTGCAGGCGATTGTGCATAGTGATATGGAGATGACAAATGTGTGTGCAAAGTGGGTGGACCTCGGACCTCTAATCAAGACCTCGGACTAAACCTTGCTTGACAAGATGAAGAACACAGTCAGGGACCAGCATGTTGAATCTTCTCCAGAACTGCATGTCATGTGCCCAGGGTGTAGGTGGTACACCAACACCCCCACAGACTAGTTTACCAAAGCCCTTCGGGACCTCCCATCCAGATGGCTGAAGTGTGTTGACATGGGGCGGAGGGATTATTTCTAACTGATGTACTATAAGTTTCTTGTTAATAAATTGTATTCCGCTCTGTGGCAGCATTTGTGTCATTCATTTCTGTACGACCTAAATAGATCTTATGAAACAGTTTCTGCTCATTATTTCAACAAATGGCAACACAGGAAGTTAAGCATTATCGCATTGTGATAGCTAATGTTAATGTTCATCACAATCAGCTCTGAGCAGCGATAATGTCAAAGAAAGTATAATTCGTAATAGTTTCGTTTTGGTGGCATATTGCAAGTTACCGTATATATACACTCTTTTTCAAAAAAATTCGAAGCACCAAGAAAGACTTTTGTGATCGCGACGAAATTTGGTATGCAAAAACATCTTGATCGAACATGCAAATGATCAAAGTTTGAAGGCAAATGAACACGAATTGCGATCATAACGCACATTTCTAGTGCGCAGTTCGCAAAGTATAAAACCAGTAACAGAGGCGGAAAATTTATCTTTTTCTGTTGCTGCCATTGTAATTCCGTAAAGAAGCAACTGCCGTTACGACGATAAAGATGCCATTACGACAATATGGAAGACCTTAACAGACAACTAAATGACTTCGAACGTGATTGCATTGTAGGGTTGTAATTCCGTAAAGAAGCAACTAAAGATTCCATTACGATGATATCGAAGACCTTACACACAACTAAACGACATCGAACGTGGTCGCATTGTAGGGTTGCGTGAAGCTGGGTGGTCATACTGAGCAATAGGCCGCCACCTGCAGCGCACAGACACTGCTGTGCAAAGATGTTGGTAGCAATGATTGCTACAAGGAAATTGTCAACGAAATGAAGGCTCTGGAAGGCCAAGAAGCACAAATGCGAAGCAAGATATTGTTCGAGAGTACCTAACCGCCCCAACGATATCATTGCCGACTATTCAACGCACTACAGCCACGTCTGTACCTCCCGTGGTACCGTCCACCAACTCACGGCGCTTGGCTGAGGCGGGGTTACGCTCACAGAGGCCTTTAAGACATTTGCCTTTGACCCCACAAGATCGGCGGAGTCGTCTGGAGTGATGTCGCAGCCGATCATCATGGCTGCCATCAGTCTGGCATAGTATAGTGTAATCAAATAAGCCAAACAAATAAGCCGTAATCAAATAAGCCAAACAAACACCATGTGCTCTTCGACTGGACTCGAATGAAACTTCATTCCGTGCTGATTGGAACATTGATGGTTACTCGTCAGTATTGTAAATCCTAATAGCATAGTATTCATTGTTTGGTAGATTCCGTAGACCCGTAATCGAACTATAAACTCTCTTCTTAAAATTGCGGCTTATATGCGTTCTTAAAACTTAACTATGTCATACAGTTGCAATAGCGATTAATTTGTGTTTACGGTGCTAAAGCTGATAACTATACGTTCCTTTCTTGGGCGAATTTTGGCCTTTTTTCGGGGGGGGGCGTGTGTGTTATCACGTAAGTACCAAAATTTCACAGTATTTACATTAACTCAAATGCCTACGAACTGGATATTCCCTAAAAATACGTTTCATATTTTTCATTATTCCTAAAAACAGTTTTCCTTGTATAAATGTTCATTTAAAACTTTAAAAATAAATAAATAAATAAAATAATTAATAGCATTGATTAAAAGCGCAGGTCTGACGCCGTCGGAATTTGAGCTGAGACTCCTAGCTTGTAACATTAGCTCTTTACTGCCAACACCAGATAGGTATTTGATAGAAAGCGACTTAATAGCATGAATGTTACTTAGAACTTTAGCCTTGTTTTACTTTTCCCTCTCTCCCCTCTAGCGATGCAAAGTCTCATTTTATATACATATTTACTTTCTTTCATGTTTTTTACTTTTATTTTTTATTTTTTTACTACTATTTACTACAACAGTACTTTGTTATTTTGAATAATGAAGACTAATAATATAATTTGAAAACTAGTGAATTCACAGTGATGGTTAAAATGCTCTCATGAAATTATGAAAATTGGATAGAGTCAAAAGAACTAAAAATCAAAATGACTTTGCCATAATGAATTGTTTTTTAATCTTATGTATGTTATAAATAAGAAATAATTAGTTCAAAAGTATTTTATCTAAAAAAGAGCACAATGCCAGTAAGAAAGATTACGTTTCATTTTTTCGGTATGTTTCAGTAGATGTCCTATTTCGAAATAAAAAATTTGATGACTACAAAAATGAAAATTCAACCAAAAAAATAATTTTGTCTTCAACAAGTCAACTGTTTGATCTAATGGGATACCTTTACCTTGTAACTTTAATTCCAAAAATTCTAATGCAAGTGTCTGCGGAGAAAATTATCTTGGGATGCCAAATTATCTGTAGACTTAGAAAAGGAATTAATATTACTTAGAGCTTTTATTTTCTTGCTCACCCCTCCCCTGTAGAGATGCGATATCTCGTTTCATATACATGTGTACTTTAAAGACTGGCATAATTACGCAGAGTCCGCCTGAAGAAATTGCTGAATCAAGGGCTTGCGCTTCTCTTGTTAAAAATCCCTGTTAAATATTACTACAAAAAAAAACCAGTTTTCTTAAAATTTTAAGAAATTTGTTTAAATGTTTTTCTTCCGTTTGACTTCTTGTTTATTTAAAGGTTAATAACTGCAAATTATAAAACTTGTGTCTCTTCTAACTTTATTTTCCTATTTTTAGATGTTTAATGGAGCCGCAAAATTTCGATCCGCAGTTTCATTTTGATTATAGAGGTCCTGTGCAGATGAAAGGAAAAAAGGAGCCAATGAAAGTTTGGTTTTTGTCTAGAAATGAGAAGGCTTAATAAATTTCTGTAAGAATATACCGGTATTATATTTTGCAACATTGTATATGTCAAAAAGAAAAATATTTTAAACCGGTGCGCTGTTATTTCATAAGTATACCTTTACTTGAAATATTTATACACTTTTAAAACAATCTCTTGAAAATTATAGCTGCAGTTAAACATTTATATAAAATTGCATTTTCGGGAAGCAATTATTTTTAAACTTTTTTTGAAAGTGAGAAAAGAAACTGCATTTTACTAACCAAGAAGAACAATTTCAATAACGATTCATTTAGAAATACCATGTATGATGCTCTGTTTATAGAACTGAAGGGTAGCACTGTGCGGTTAACTTATTTTATATGCAGTCTGAGCGCACTAAATATGATCTGCCACTGATAAACTTTTCCCTTTTCAATAAGTTTAAAGAACGAATAAATCTACATTTGCTACTAGAATAACTGCATGTAATGTTTACTTAGAAAGCGCGTTTCTTTTAAAGATATTATTTCCAAGAAAAACTTGTAAATTTTTGTTTGTTTATTTCAGTGCTTTAATTAAAAATTTTGTTGCATATAATGTGTCTTTTCTTAATAATTTCAGACACTGACTCATTAGTTTTAAAAGCAACAAAATATTATCATAAATAGATTAATTTAAAATACGTCTGAAATACAATGCTTAAAATGTTACTTAATATTTTAGTTAATAAATTCTAGAACAGCACTTTACAGCATTGTGATTTTTATGCATTAAAAAAGGTCTGGAAGAAAAAGAGAAAGACAGTCCTGAAGTAAAAGTACATTTATCTATTTATGTACGTATTTATAATTAGATGGGCAAACACTGATATAGATTTAAAATTGTTTTTCATAATGGTTTCTAATAATGGTTTTTAATAATGTTTGGTAATAACTGTGTGTGATCTGTGACCTGTGATTTAAGACAAATCTTTATGTATTGTAACAGAACTACTATTTCTTCTTGTTGACTTTGCGAACATGCTGGATTCCTGAGTAGAACAGGGAGTTTACTTAAAACTATGTTCGTTGCAGTTGTAGAAGATACGACACAAATGGGAAAAGTTTAATTAACCTTTAATCTTCATACAGTTTACAGACGTTCCCACGCTTAAAGACCAATGGAAGTTGGTAAGTTTATGTCCTGGAACGTAAAAATAAGAACTAAGACTAATTCAATGTAAATAAGAGCTAAACTCAAATACTTTATAAAGATTAGTAACGCGAAGATCGGCCTTTTAATCTTTACGTATTTAGTACGCAGAATGCGGGAAAACTACAATACGTCTTCAGTATCAAGAGGACTAAATTCTGGCCTTAAAGGCGGACAGCAACTGACTGAAAATGTGAGAAGTCTCTCTCTCTCTCTCTCTAACTCCTTCTTGGCTAAAAGCCACAACTTAAATACTTAACAGTTTGCAAGCTCAATTTGCATAACTAAAACTAACAGCGTTTATTCTGGCCGGACGTGGAAAATAAGAGAGGATAGTAAAGTTTTAAAATAAAATAAACGTTTGTAAAACTTAAAATACTTACAAGGTTTATCCTAAGTTGTTAACCGTTATCTTTATTTAAAGCTACTTTACTATCTCTCCTAATTTCAACTTACAATTTCCTACTAGAATGTGTTTTTAAAATCGCGGTTAATGCAAATGAGTAAGAGTGGTATTTAAGTCAAAGTTCCACTGACTCCGTTAGAGAGCCAAAAATTCTGACTAGCGCGCGTTCGCCTTTTGGCTACACTGTCTCTAAGCTATTATTACGCTCGGCCGTATCTCAGGCCCTTAATAGCTTCGCCAGCTTAATTCATATTTAGTGTCCAACTACTTAGAAATCTTCATAGCTTCGGCTATATTTTTTAGTTAAGTTTCATTTCTTATTTCTTTGAGTTCATGCCCGAGTGGAGGCTATGCTGTACGTCCTGAAAAAGGGACCGTCTGTGAAATTCTTTTTTTGAGAAATAAAGGATATTTAACCCTTCTTGAGTTTTAGTATCTGTTTCTGAGCTAAAGCGCATATTCGCTTACCTGTTCACGAGGTTCCTACACACTTAGCTATTATATAAAATATTGGAACCCCACAGTATAAACTTTTCCTTTTCGCTCATGACTTTTAATTGCTTTTATGTAACGAAACAAAAAAACTTCAAAATGTTTCGCAATCCATCAAAAATTAGCTCGTGAGTAGTGATCCACTACTGGGTCGCTATCCACACTTTGAAAAACACGGTTTTCAAAGTCGCATTTCAACAGCAATAAAAAAAACAATTTTTAATATTAAAAATTCATTTCACACTTTTATTACTAAAATAATATTTTAGATTAGGTTTTTGATACTAACTGTGGCGACTTGCCTACTACAACTCAACGCTGCCAGTCTGGTAACCCATAGCAACAAGAGACAAAATAATATTTATCCTATTCTATTGTTATGATTATTAACGATCTGTCTCAATTATTGTACTACCTTAATAAAAACTGTACACTAAAGAGCCAAAACATTATGACCACCTGTCAATAACGAGTTGGGCCACCTTTGGCGCGCAACACAGCTTCAACCCGCTTTGGCATGGATGCCACAAGTCCTTGATAGATGGCCGGAGGCAGATTGTACCAGATGTTGTAGCAACGGTCACGCAAATCCGAGATATTGCGAATTGGTGGTCTTTGACCTCTGAGCTGCCGTCCCATGACATCCCAAATGTGTTCTATCGGATTGAGATCCGGTGAGTTAGGCAGCCAGGACATTAACTGGAAATAAGCATCATGTTCCTGGAACCACTCCAACACAATTGTAGCCTTGTGACACGGGGCGTTGTCCTGTTGGAGCATTCCATTTCCAGCTGGAAAAACTGAGGCCATGTAAGGGTGCAACTGGTCCGCAATGATGCTCAGATACCCTGTAGCATTCATGGTCTGTTCTACCACAACCACGGGTCCCAGAGATGTCCAAGAGAACGTGTCCCAGAGCATAATACCGCCACCACCGGCCCGTGTATGACCTACTGTGCATTGAGGGAGCAACTGTTCTCCTGGAAGCCGATGTATCCTGACACGGCCATTGCGTGATGAATGACAAACCGTGATTCATCTGATCAGGAAATCTCTCCCACTGATCCATGGACCAGTCGCGATGTTCCCGGGCCCAGCGCAGGCGCAGTTTGCGATGACGCTGGGTCTGCAAAGGCACACGAGTGGGACGTTTGCTGGGTAACCCCATATCCAACAGTGTCCGCTGAACTGTGTGCTCCGATACTTTTCTACTTGACCCTGCATTGTATTCGGCTGTCAGCTGAGCCACTGTCTGGCTCCGGTTTTGCTTCACCATGTGAGACAGTCTCCGACGACCTTTTTCTTTCATAGCGTGCGGACGTCCAACACCATGTGGTCTACTGCTGGTTTCACCGTCATTCATCCACTTTTCATGCGTACTAACAACTGTAAATCGCGAACAACCCACGAGTCGTGCAGTTTCGGAAATACTTGTTCCGAGCCTTCGAGACATTACAATCTGCCCTCTATCAAAGTCCCTTAGATCCGCAGCGTTTCCCATCACACACAGAAGTAAGTGAAAGAATGATTTTTCAGACTCTCCAGCAGCAGTTAAATACCACTTCCACCTGATCACGTGCCTTCCACGTCATCCAGGCGCGTTCATCGCAAAATGTAGGGCTGGTCATAATGTTTTGGCTCTTGAGTGTATTACCACAATTGGTGACCCGTATTTATTACGAATAGCAACCTTCAATGTTGCACAAATATGGAGCTTAAATATCAAAATTCTGAGCAACAGTAAGTTATCCAATGTGATGAGATGCAAGTAAAACATTTCACCTCTGATTTCAAACGTTGTGCCACATTCCGGTGAGTCAACATATTTCTGTCATAATTTTAGCGGATATATGTATCGTCTGCTGCATTTGAGCCGAATTTCTCGGATTTCAAGTATCAAGAAACTCTGTCACTATGTACATATTGATTATTTTTCTATACATATTATTATTGCACATATTCTGTACATATTATTATATTATTATTGCACATATTCTATACATATTATTATTGTGCATATTCTATACATATTATTATTGTGCTTATTCTATACATATTTTTATTGTGCATATTTGATTGATCTAAAATGGTTGACAACGATGCATCTTCACAATTGGCACGAGTGACAGTTAAGTCACCGCCTTTTTGTCGCCGAGATCCATCGTTATGGTTCATCCAATTCGATGCGCAGTTTAAATTGAGTCACATTACGGCCGACGAAACTCAATTTTATACAGCGATCGCCGCGTACTCAGGTACAGAGGTACTGCAATTAGCTCGTGAAATAATTTTGAATCCACCGACGACGGACAAATACAAATCTTTAAAAAAAATTAATTTCTGTTTATGAAGAATCCGAGAATAGTTAAAATCAAGCAGCCGTTGCAGGAATTTACATGGTTGGGTGATATGAGACCTTCTGAATTGTTGTCTAAAATTTCAGACTTAGCCGCCGGTAACCTAACGGATAACATTCTTAAATATTATGGATGAAGAAACTACCATCTAACATGCAAGCCATTTTAGCGGCCAGTAGTGAGCCACTTAAAAATCTATCTGAAATCGCTGATAAAATTCACGAGCTCGCCATTCCAGCGCAAATACACGCAGTGCAGGCTCCTGTTCCAGGTACTGTGGCATTACAGGCTCAAATTGATGATTTGTCCAAACCCGTTGCTCAGTTAGTAGCCATCCAAGCTGAACCTTTTCAGCGCAACCGCTCCACATCACGTGGTCGAAATACATGTCGTAGCCTCCTGAGGAAACGTTCCTCCGGGTACAAATACGGCGCAGCCCCATCCACCTAATCGACAAGATTTTGTGACAAACAAGGGCTGCGCCAAGCAAAAACCAAAATATATATATATATATATATATATATAAAATACTATAAAATACATAATTATACATGAAATTACATATTACATGAAATACATATAAAATACAATTATATATAAAGCATAAAATACACCACATAACGCATGATAAAGTTATGTTAAGATTCCATATAAACACCAATATCTCAATTTAAATTATTGTAACACAAAATTTAAAAACAAACTTTTATCAAATAAAAATACCAACATTAGAGCGATCCGAGTATTTGCTTTTACCACCACAAATTTGGAAACAAGGCAAACAAATGCCGCCCACCGTGTCGTTATAACGACCAGGGAAACGAGAAGGGCCGTCGCTCGAAGTCGTGAACGACAGCGGCCGGAATTTTGCACGCCTTTTCGTCATCGATAAGAATTCGGGCTTAAGGTTTCTTGTAAACACCGGGACTGATGTTTCTGTCGTTCCACCACATTTTCACGAAAAAAGCACCTTACCAAGTTACAACTTTATGCAGCAAATGGAACTCCTATTCAAACTTTTGGTGATCGCCTGATATCTGTTGATTTAGGATTGCGCAGCAACTTCCAATAGCCATTCATTATTGCTACTGTTTCAAGTCCTATTATTGGCGCTGACTTTTTACAAAAATATTCTTTGCTTGTAGATCTTAAGAATCGCCGTTTGATAGATTCCACAACCAACTTAACTTATCCGGGAGTAATTCGCAATAGTCAAGTTACCACACTAACAATATGCTTATTTCAGCTTTTAGTGAGCACCACGGTATATTAACAAGCAAAATACATAGTTTCTACATCAACAAAAATTCTACAACTTAATTTCGTACCTTTTAAATAATCAAACAGTTAATTAAATACATCACAATTAAAAAAACCAAAGGTGAGCCAAAAACTACTATTGTTATGAAGTATTCAGAAAGTGAATCCACATACACTCATATATCCTAATTAAAAAAACTCTTATATATTTCACAGCGAAGTTTTCCTGTTGTTGTACGTTAATGAATATAATATTGTTACGTGCTGACGGGTTTGTAATGGATTGAATGCATATGGAACCGATAACAGCTTGATGAAATTTACTTTTTCCAAAAATGCTTTACAGTTCTGTAACTCTTCATACAAAAGTAATTGCACAGCTCTTCTAAGTATAACAGAGCACAGTCAGTAGTTACCATTTCAAACTACTAAGAACGTTGAACACAAGGCAATACAAAAGGCCTCAAATGCGTAAGCTCGCGTGCTGATCTCTCAGTACTCTCAATACTCTGAGCTTAACTCTGAACCCAACTTTGAACTAAATTCTTATCTTGTTTTCCACCGTTTTCGGAGAAATTTCCAGTACCTTCGTTTTCTAGAAATTGCTGGAAGGCATGCACAGTTACCGTTACGTATGGATCGGACCAAAATATCGCCAAATGCTAGTCAAGTTTGGTGACTTTGGCGATTTCTTGCCAAATTTAAAGACTAAAATTATTCGTT